AAGTAGAAAGCAAAAAAAAAAAAGGGGGGGGAGGGGAGGAATTGCAGAGAGATTCTGGGGAGACATTTCTCCCAATCCCCCTGAAAAAACAGCTTCCCTCCGTTCCCATGTAGTGAGCCCTCAGTCCCAGCCTTCACACTGCCCCCCTACAACCCTCTCAGCACGAAGGGGGGAATATTCCCAGGCAGCTCCGGGGGTGGGCGGGTGGGAGAAGGCGCTGTGCAAGGTGGGGTGTTGTGGCCTGAATTCCCCCCCTTGCTGGGACCCGGCGTTGTGACAACCCCCCCTTGAGGGCAGAGGAGGAACGGGAGTGTTGGATGCCCCCTCCAAGCCCCTGGAACAAGAGAAGGGGTGCGGGGGGGAATATCAAGTCAGGCAGATATTGGGGGGGGGAAGCATTTTGAGGGACTTCCTCCCCTTGAAATCCCCCCTCGCTTCCTCCTCTACAGGAAATAGGTGTCATGATTAATAACACCCCCTTCCACTTCAGCAACAGCGAAGGGGGAGGGGAAGGAGCATTTACACAGACAGCTAAGGCGGCATTATCGAGAGGGAATCCCCCCCATAACCTCCACCCCTGGAGAGGGAAGGGGAGCAGTCACAGGCGGCACAGGAGGCACAGCCATGACCGAAGGGGTGGGCTCTGCCTCCCCTCAGCCCCCGGGATTAACAGAGCCCTTTTACACTCCAGCAACAAGGACAGGAAAAGCAGAGGGGACCGGCGGAGTCACGGACGGGCACTGCCGGCTCCTTCTGCGGGGCGGCTGCCCCCACACATGATCCAACACCCTCGAGTAAGCACGGGCGAGGAGGGAAAATAAAGGGGAGGGAGCAAGGCGCGGATACACACCGAGGGGGCATGATGAGGGGAGGCTCTCCCCCGTATGATCGATACCACCCTTTGCACTCCCGCTCCTGCCACAACGAGAAGGAGGAGAGAGGGAAAAGGGGGGAAAGCAGAGAGGGAAGGAGGCAGCGGGAGCTGGGGAGTGGGGGGAGGGGAGGGCCCCTCTCCCTCAGAGCCCCCCACCCCTGCCCACGTTACCTGCTTTTGTAATCTTTGGGGCACTCAGTCCCATCTTGCTGCCGCTGCCGCTCTCTGTTTGGGCATTAGCATTGCCTCCTACTACTACTCCTCCAGGGCTGGGGCTTGGGCTGCTGCTGCTACTGCTGCCGCTCACAACATGGTTCCCCAGCAGCCCCCCAGCGGCCCTCAGGGGCTCCTGCGCCTTGTGGTGCTGGTGGTGGTGGCCGGAGGCCGCCAGCTGGGACTCCAGGGAGCCCACCAGGTCGCTCA